GGATCCTGATCCCGACCGAACGCGGGGCGACCAAGGCCCGGGCGGATCCGGAGCGAGGGGTGGGCGAGGAGGAACGGGCGTGGACCGGGAGGCCAGGCACGGGACGAGCAAGCCCCGGTGGAGCCGCGGCGAGGAGAACCAGGCGGAGCCCGCGACGAGCCGGACCAGGCTGGACAAGAAGACCGGGCAGAGCTCGGGTCAGGAGAGCCGGAATCGGGCAGAGAGCAGGCCGGAGCGAATCGGGGGAGAAGATCTAACACGGAGTTGCAGCGTGCGAGAGGAACCTAACATCTGATACCATGTTGGATGAATAGCAACTAACTCTTTACTGAGGGCCAAAGGCCAGTACATATACAGGTGTGGCAAAGTGCAGAAAAGCCCCTTATACAATGGGGATGTACACAATGAACTATACACATCTAACATGCTGGGCCATGGCTTTCTCTATAGGCAAAGGTAGTGGACTACTGGCTAGGCATTCAGATGCATTCTACAGTAGTCCAGTCCTTGATGCTAAACTTGGTAGGTGCATTTTGCAACCATCCGGGGACCAGGATTTATGGATGCGCTCTTTTCTGTTCAGCATTCTACACTAAAAGATTGAAAGATATGCTGATTCAAAAGCCATCACTTTAATGATCGGATGGCCTATATCCGTGCCTTCGCCACAATTACGTGATTGCAATGAGGTGAGGTGCCGAGCCAGCATCATAGGTGACAAGGCACATGATGGTCCAGGAGCCTTTCATAGGCAGATGCAGAGTTCACTTCATTGCTTTTGGGTGTGTACTTTGCACTTACAGCTGCAGCTGCATGTTAGGTGTTTGTTGGTTTAACAGTGCTTTGATTGCTTCAGATCTGGAAGGTTCCTGGGAAGTTCCATATCTCATTGTCCACCCATGGCCTGCATGGTTTCTAGCATAGCATGTGTCAGCCATTTTCGGGTATCATCCTTCCATTTAGCTGAGCAGTTGAGGGTTTGCAGGTCATAGCCTTGAATCTAACCAAGGACTTGTCATTAGTTTTTCTTTTTCTTTTTTTATTAGGAAGTGAGCATGCTGTAATATGAGTTGCAATGCAAGGCATATTTGTTGGTTTATCTTAGATAATGATTAATGAACCTAGCTTTGCCTGATGATTTACTTGGACATCCATGACACAAAGATAGCATGGAAATTTATTTTTTACTCCCTCCGTTCCTAAATATAAGGTGTATTAGTTTTTTTAAAAAGTCAACTGTTGTCTATGTTTGACCTACTTTACAACAAAATATATAAAGATTTATAATACTAAATATATAAAATATAAAAATATAGTTCATAATGAATCTAGTGATCATGATTTGGAATTCTAGACATTGATATTTTTGTCTATAAACTTGGTCAAACTTAGAGAAGTTTGACTTTTTGGAAAAATAATACACCTTATATTAAGGAACGGAGGGAGTATGAGCTATTCTGCATGACAGACCTGACTTTTGAACCATTGCAGGTTTGCTGGTCCTGATTTGAGTATAATTTGACGATTTTGTCATCGGTTGTTCAAAAGGTCACATCCCATCTCCATCTGCAAATATTTTATCACCGGTTGTCGGTTGAACAGCTTTCTTTGTAAATTTTTTTGTCCGAAGGCCATATAACTGCACAAAAGAAATTTGTCTACACATACTGCTTAGGTTCTAAAAACTGTCATCAATCATTTATCTTTGCAACAAAGTATATGTACACATTGAAAGAACAATGCCTCTAACTACTGTCAATCTTCCTTGATTGCTTCTTTGCTAGCAAGATCAAATGCTACACATAAACTGTTTTCCTTGGTCTATTTTCCTATATCTCTGCAGATGGTAATCAGGAGCTGCAGACACCGAAATGCTGGCTAACTCCCAGATGTGGCTCCACATGATAGTGGCATGGCATCGCCATAGTGTTGAGGAACGCAGCCTCCATCTCTGCGGAGGCGCTTCTCCTGAGCAAGCACATGGCGTACTCCATCATCGATGCGTCGCAGGGAAGCGTGATTCTGGCACCGTCAACGCCTGCGAAGCCGAACTCCTCTTGGGACATCCTCAAGAGCTCACTGAAGACGGTCGTGCCGAGGAACACAAGCGGCACCTCGAACCTCACACCGTCGGCTGTGTACACGATGCAGTGACCCTTGCCAGCCACTGACGAGCACAATGTGCCGCACGACCCTCCGGTTTCTTCTGCGGACATTGATGACGACCAGGTGAGCCTCTTTCTCCCCATAGCCGTCACACTCTGCCACTTCTTTGCAAGCCGAGTGAGTGTCTTGGCACTCAACATGGTAGTTTCTTGTGTTTCTTGAAACTGGAGAAATTCCTCTGCTAGTTGGAGGTTGGAATGCCTTTTTCTGTGGATAAAGTGGTGGTGTTAAGACTAAGAGGGCATTTAGCCATGGATTTATAGCCCAGGGGTAAAGCGGGCGCCCACATATGGTGGCAGTGTGTGATAGTTGGGCAGGAGACAATACCATGAGTATGGTACGTGCGGTGCTGCGGTTTTGGAGGTGCCGTGATGTGATCTGGATCAGGTCTGCTGGGCCCGAGTGTTTGGCACTTGCTCGAGCCTGCACTGGACGTCTCGTCCTCACAGCCGTGGTGATCGGTTTACTGGGGAAATATGGCACCAGCGTGGGGACCCCATGTGGTTCTCTAGCCAGAAGCACATTTCAGACATGGATGGTGCTTGGAAATCTCGGCAAAATCAGTCATCACGTTTGGTGTCTGCAGCCAGTTGCAAGAACACGCAGAGCACTCATGGCATTGTCCCCTGCCCAACGCTCTCGCTGATAGCTACACACTAACCACGCGCATATGCACTGCCCTGACTCCTTTCTTCCTTCTACTATAAATCCATGGCCTGCTCAGCACAAACTTCATCTCATCTCAAGCAGCATCACAACCTACAACACACCTTCAGACTTCCAGAGCCAAAGTGAAATTTAGCCAGCCGGAAACACATCCGACTCAACCATGATCCATCCAAAGAAGCTTGCTCAGCTGGCCAAGAAGTGCCGGCGGATGTTGGCGGCTGGAGCTGGTGCCCGCCGTCGGCATGCCTCGGACATGGCCGACGATGAGTGCTGCAGCACAGTGTCATCTGTGGTTGCCGATGAGGGCCACTGCGTGATGTACACCAGCGACGGAACCCGGTTCGAGGTCCCTCTGGCGTACCTCGGGACGACGGTCTTCGCCGAGCTCCTGAGGATGTCCGAGGAGGAGTTTGGCTTCGCGAGCGGCAGTGACGGAGGCAGGATCATGCTGCCCTGCGATGGCACTGTGATGGAATATGTCTTGTGCCTGGTCAGGAGGGAGGCCTCTGAGGAGGTCGAGAGGGCGTTCTTGAGCTCCATTGTTGGGCACTGCCACAGCTACAATGCTAGCTGCATGGCACCATCAATGGGACTCGGCCATCAATTTGCTCTTTGTACTTAGCTACTAGCTTAGCTTCTGAAATATTTTTAGTTAGGACTAAGAGGAGCTCTGTAGAGCCTCATGTAATACTCAATGATCACAGTAAATGATACGAAGAGACAAATTTTCTAGTGAAGAAATTGGAGTATTTGACACATCCTTGAACATAGTTCATATATACTAGTGAAGAAAGTAGAGAGAAACCATGGACTTAAGTTTGTGGTCAGGTGGCTGGACTCAGTAATGGCGCTGCGAAGGGGTTGGGGATGAGAGGATCAGATAGACAATGAACAAACTGCTGTTCCTTTACAAAAAGAACTGCTGTTCCTACCTCCAACTAGAAATGTCGGATTGAGACTGCGTGTCCCAGATGGAGGTGGGTTGAGCAGTTCATAGGATCTGGTTAGAGGTAGTAACAGCGGCTTTCACCATGCATGTCACTGCCGGAAGTGGCTTATTCCTGATCTCCATTCCTCATGTGTTGGAGACTGCTATGCGTTGGCTGCGCAGATTCTCGTCAACTCACCACACTTTGGTGGAAATCTAGCATCATAGGGGACATGGCACATTATGGTCTTCATAGGCAGATGTGGAGTTTACTTCATTGCTTTTGGGTGTGTACTTTGCACTTACAGCTGCAGCTGCATGTTAGGTGTTTGCCGGTTGGTTTAACAGTACTTTGATTGCTGCAGATCTGTCAAGTTGCTGGGCAGCTCCATATCTCATTGTCCACCCATGGTCTGCATGGTTTCTAGCATAGCATGTGTCAGTCATGATCCGGTAACTTCCTTGCATTTAGCTGGGCAGTTGAGAGTTTCACCAAGGGATTGTCATTAGTTCCATGTTGGCATTTCTTTTGGGGAAGTGAGCATCCTGTGATGCTAGTTGCGTACTTGTTACGGTAATGAACCCGGCCTTGCCTGATGATTTACTTGGACATCCATGACACAAACATAGCATGAATTTTTTTTGCCAAGTATAAATCTTGACGAGCTTATTCTGCAGACCCGATTTCTGAATGCTAGTAGGTTTGCTGGTCCTGACTTGAGTATAATTCGCCCAATTTGTCATCGGTTGAACAACTTGCAGTAGCCTTTGTCCAACAATTCAACCTACCTAATCCATCTACAAGGACTTACCTGCCCTACCTAAACTTTCTTTGTAATAATTTGTGTCTGAGGCCATTTAATTGCAAATAAGAAATTTGTCAATGCTTAGTGATCAATCATTTATCTTTGGAACATAGAATATGCATACATTGAAAGAACAATGTCTCTAACTACTGTCCATCTTCCTTGATTGCTTCTTTGCTAGCAAGATCAAAATGCTTACACGCAAAGTGTTTTCCTTAGTCTATTTTCCTATATCTCTGCAGATGGTAATCAGGAGCTGCAGACACCGAAATGCTGGCCAACTCCCAGATGTTGCGCCACATGATAGTGGCATGGCATCGCAAAGGTGTTGAGGAACGCGGCCTCCATCTCTGCGGAGGCGCTTCTCCTGAGCAAGCACATGGCATACTCCATCACCGATGCATCGCAGGGCAGCGTGATTCTGCCACCGTCAACGCCTGCGAAGCCGAACTCCTCTTGGGACATCCTCAAGAGCTCGCTGAAGACGGTCGTTCCGAGGAACGCAAGGGGCACCTCGAACCTTGCACCATCGGCAGTGTACACGACGCAGTGGCCCTTGCCGGCCACCGTCGAACACGACCCTCCGGCTTCTCTGGATGTTGATGGCGACCAGGTGAGCCTCTTCCTCTTGATAGCCGCCACCCTCTGCCACTTCTTGGCCAGCCGAGCTAGTGTCTTGGCACTCATCATGGTAGTTTCTTGTGTTTCTGGAACTGGAGAAATTCTTCTGCTAGTGGGAGGTTGGAAGGCCTTTGTCTGTGGATGAAGTGTGTTAGGAGGGCATTTAGCCATGGATATATATATATATATATATATATATATATATATATATATATATATATATATATAGCCCGGTGGTAAGGCGGGCGCCCACATATGGTGGAGTGTTTGATAGTTGGGCAGGAGACAATGCCAGCGTATGGTACGTGTCCTGCTGCAGTTTTGGAGGCGCCGTGATGTAATCCGGATCAGGTTCTGCTGGGGCCAAGTGTTTGGCACAGCCGTGGTGATCGGTTTATAGCACGACCCTCCGGCTTCTTTTGTGGATGTTGATGGCAACCAGGTGAGCCTGTTCCTCCCGATAGCCGCCACCCTCTGCCACTTCTTTGCCAGCTGAGCGAGTGACTTGGCACTCATCATGGTAGCTTCTTGTGTTTTTGGAACCGGAGAAATTCTTCTGCTAGTTGGAGGTTGGGATGCCTTTGTCTGTGGATGAAGTGGTGGTGTTTGGTGGTCACTAACCATGGATTTATAGCTCAAGGGTGAAGGGGCACCCACATATGATTTAATGTGTGATGATTGGGCAGGAGACAATGCCATGTGTATGGTACGTGCGGTGCTGCAAATTTTGGAGGTGCCGTGATGTGATCTGGATCAGGTCTGCTGGGGCCAAGTGTTTGCCACTTGCCGGAGCTTGCGCTGGACGTCTAGCCTGCACAGCCATGGTGATCGGTTTGCTAGGGAAATGGCACGAGCACGAGGACCCCATGGGGCTCTCTAGCCACAAGCACATTTCAGACATGGATGGTGGCATGGTGCTTGAAAATCTAATCAAAGTCATTCATCACATTTTCTGCAGCTACTTCCACCAACATTGCATACAGAGCACTTGTGGCATTGTCCCCTGCCCAACGCTCTCGCTGATAGTTACACACAACCTACACGCATATGCACTGTGTGAGCCCTCTCTTCGTTGTTCGTTCTACTATAAATCCATGGCCTTCCCAACACAAGCTTCTTCATCTCATCTGCAAGCAACATCACAGTCTACAACACACCTTCAGACTTTCAGAGCCGAATTAAGTGAAATTTAGCCAGCCAGGAACACATCAGACTCAACCATGATCCATCCAAAGAAGCTTGCTCAGCTGGCCAAGAAGTGCCAGCGGATGTTGGTGGCCGGAGCCGGTGCCCGCCGCCGGCAGGCTTCAGACACGGCCGATGATGAGTGCGGCAGCACAACGTCATCTGTGGTCGCTGATGAGGGCCACTGCGTGGTGTACGCCACCGACGGAGCACGGTTTGAGGTCCCTCTTGCGTACCTCGGCACGACGGTCTTCGCCGAGCTTCTGAGGATGTCAGAGGAGGAGTTTGGCTTTGCAAGCGGCAGCGAGGGAGACAGGATCATGCTACCCTGCGACTCCACGGTGATGGAGTACGTCTTGTGCCTTGTCAGGAGAGAGGCCTCTGAGGAGGTCGAGAAGGCATTCTTGAGCTCCATTTCTGGGCACTGCCCCAACTACAATGCTAGCTGCATGGCTCCATCAGTGGGAATCAGCCATCAATTTGCTCTTTGTACTTAGCTACTAGTTTAGCTTCTGAAATAGTTTCTTGGTTAGGACCGAGAAAATCTCTATACAGTTTTATGTAAGATCGATTATAACAGGAAATGATACAAAAGGGTCTCAACTTTCTGGGAGAAATTGGATTATTTGACACATCCTTTATAATAGTTCATATAGAGTACTGAAGAAAGTAGATGGAAACCACGAGTTTTCGTGGTCGTGATTTGCGGGGTCAGGGAGCAGCAGCTAAAAGTAGAGGACAGTGCAGCAGAGGGCATGGCGATGGGGAGGATTAGATGAACAATCACCAATCTGCTTTTCCTACCTCTAACTAGAACCATGGGATTGAGATTGCGTGTCCCATATGGAGGTGGGTTGAGTAGTTACTGTTCTGGTTAGTGGCTTAGACCGTTAGAAGTAGGAATGGCGGTTTGTCACCTAGGAAATGAACGCACTGCTGGAAGTGTTCAATTCTAGATCTTTACTCCTTGGCTCGCCACACTTTGGTGAGAATCCCACAGTAGAACTAGGAGTAGGTAGCAAAGCAAGCGAATCTCTGAACAAATTAGGATATGATGCATCCCTCTGTTACATGCTTTTGTTGTTCTGTTCTGTAGACATTGCCCAGAAATTCAATGAGCCTTGTAGTTGAACATCATTACTGTTGTATGCAAATCCAAATGTATGAAAAAAAACTGACAAAATTATGGCTGTAAATTCTGGGTTGCTAGGTTTCTGCTAGATCATTTTCCATAAGAAAAGGTTTCTGCTAGATTGGTTACAACCTTGCAAGATTGGAAAGACTTCACATATCATTTATTCAAGTGTAAACAGAAAGAATGCGGAAGAGTCCAATTGAAATATGAAGACAGTGCCCAGTTTACGTTGGCCTTCTATCTATGTCAAACTAATTTACAGTCAAGCACTAAACTGATAAGAACTAGGAGCCGCAAACAGCCATTTGTTGGTTAACACCCGGAGATGGTGCTACGCAGCTTGTATGGTGGCATGGCATCGCCATGGAGCTCAAGAATGCCTTCTCAACCTCCACTGAAGCATTTCTTCCAAGCAAGCTCATAATGTATTCCGTCACCGTGGCATCACAGGGCAACATCATTCTGCCATCACCGCTTACAAGACCAAACTCCTCCTGAGACATATGGATGAGCTCTCTGAAGATCATCGTGCCAAGGTACGCCAATGGCACCTCAAACCGCCTCTCGTCATCAGTTGTGTACATGACACAGTGGCTCTTGCCTGCCACTGCCATTGAGCACCCTTCGGCTTCTTTTGTCGCCGTCATGGTAAGCTGCTTCCTGCTGAGGTATGCTACCCTTTGCCACTTCTTTGCTAGTTGAGCAATTCTCTTGGCACTGACCATGTCCGGTCCTTCTGAAAGGTGGAAACTGGAGACTCTACTTGAGTTGCAATGTTTTGTTTGTGTTGAAGCAATGCTATTTGGAGGTCACTGAACCAAGATTTTGTACCTAGAGCCCGAAGGGGAGTAGGACACTGTCAAGTGTCATTGATATTTGGCAAGGGGACAACGCTATGAGTCTGGTACGTGCAAGTGCAATGTCGCAAGCAGATCAGGGCAATGCTATTGAGACTGGATATTGATTTGAGCCAACTGTTTGGTGCGTGCCGGGCACATCACCAGGCACACACCGCCACTGACATGTTTAGTGGATTAGCAGCACGAGGACCCCATGCAAACTGGGTTCAACGCATGAGCATCAGTTTCTTGCAATAATATATTGGCAGACAAGACTTCTGGTTGCGATGGGGAAATCTAGCCAGCATGTTCAGTTGCCGATATATAGTCTTCCTTTAGTTTGGCAGATGAGAAACTGACTTAGTTGGATCAGTAATTTAGTGTGTTCTTAACATTTTTATTAGGTGTGGAAGGGACAGTGTTAGTTGACGTAACACACACCTCTCTGAACATTGTCATAACTCAGTCTTGTTGATAGCCTACCTGATTTGTAGCATTGCATGTGGAAGCCATCCCTTTGCTCCTTCTCTGCACTTTCCTTTGGGCCTTCAGTTAGCTGCATGCATCTGTGAAATGAATAACAGGCATCTACTATATCTTGCACCCGACACTACCTTCTGTAAAGTTTTGTGGGTAGGACATTCAATTTTTCAGTAACAGTTAACCATCACTTGCTTTTACCCCAATAATAAAAACCTCCCTTATACCCATTAAAACCCTGTGGAGACCATGCTTTCTATTCCATTTTTGTGTTTGCTATCATACTTCATTTCTTATTGGATTGATGGCGTTGCAATAATGTCCAGAGGATTCATCGTTAGAATGGCGCCTGTATCACATGGTCATTTCACTAATTCATAACTTTTTGATCTTTTTAATGTTCCGGCATATATTGAATAGATTGTATGGAAACTTGTTGTATATTCTCTGTGGAGCAAGATACGAAACGGAAATGTAATTAAGAGAAGAATGCATACTGCTGGTGGCCATAATGCTGCTTTGTTGCATTGATGATCAGATTGCTGTACATACAATTTTGCTGCCCCTATTATCTACTGTCTAACTATCTTACACTACCCAGGCAAAGTACTCAAAACAGAGGACATCATCAGGGCCTCTGCATGCATGTTCTTGAGAAGCTACAGACAGCAAATCTGTTGGCTGGCTCTGACATTAGGCATCCCACAGCCAGTGTAGTGGCAAGACGTCACCATAGATCAGATTGTTGCTTCAATGACGCAGCCAGTGTAGTGGCAGGGCGTCACCATAGAGCTGAGCAATGCACTCTCGACCTCGGCGGAGGCGCTTCTCCTCAGCAAGCACATGACATACTCCATCACTGCGGCATCACAAGGCAGTGTGATCTTGCCTTCGTTTGCAAAGCCAAACTCCTCCTGAGACATCCTCAGGAGCTCGCCGAAGACCGTGGTGCTGAGGTACACCAAGGGCACCTCGAAACGCCTCCCGTCGGCCGTGTACATGACACAGTGGCCCTTGGCTGGTACAGAACTGCAGCAGCCTTGATCTTCTTTGGCTGACACAGTGAGCCTCTTCCTCCCGAGTGCTTCCACCCTTTGCCACTTCTTTGCCAGTTGAGCAAGTCTCTTGGCACCGGCCATGGTTGGTTTCTTGGACTTTGTGTTTTCAGCTCGAAATCTGAAGAAGTGGGATAGATGTTGCAATGCTCAGTTGGTGGTGGATGGGGTGATGAAGAAGTGATGGTGTTGAGCTAGTCGCTTACTGAATTTATAAGCGAGGGGAAGAAAAAACTGATCTTGAGGAATATTTGTGATTCTCGGTCCCCCATCCTCGCTCTCG